CTTTGTAAGTGTTCAAATTGTTGCTAACTTTGAATTGAGCTCTAAAAACCAACCCAGAAACATGTTTCGCGGCTAATGCGAGCCGACATACGCCGAATCTTGATTCTGGCCAAACATGGTCTCGAGAAATAGGTCACAAGTCAAAGGTCACTTGGGTCAGGGTCATTTATTTTTCAGGGTATGTATAAAATTGAATTACCAGAGGATACCGAAAGTTTCGTCACGATCGGCCACTTTACGCGAGTTATTTGCGAAAACTTGAGGGTGGATCCGTTAGACCCCCCTCCCCTATAAGGGCAAGCGATCGTTCAGTCGATATAGCTATAGCGAGTATTGTAACTTTTTATGAGGTAAGGTCACTTGACGTGACCTGGTGACCTGACCTAGAGCGACCCGGATCTGAAATTTTCACAACATGTGCAGAAAAGATGTATGAACGCGCCGCCGTTTTATTAGATATATTTGCTGAAACCTGAGGGGAAGGGGCATAAAAACGCCCCCCGCCCCCCCCCCCCCCAGCATGGCGCGGGATAATATACTATATGTTTGTCACTCTTTGCATAATGGTATAATGCCATGCAAAATGCTAATGGGAATGAAGATGTGGGATTTTGTTTGATTTTAGATATATTATATATGTAGTTCTAAAATTGTTTAAGGGATATAACATTTACTCGCCTTGTTTTTCTTTTTTAAATAATTTGGGTACCAGACGCTCTGGCGTGGTTTAGCAAGTTCTTCTGCTTTTACAAGAAATGGGACCCGATTTATGTACTTGTTTTGGTGATCTGAAAAACGATTATATGCTTATTTGATTTGGAATCAATGACCTATCTTACAGTGTAAGTGCACGTTTTTGTTACCAGTATTTCGCATTGACGGATTCCTACATTCTCCGTTTGTGATGTGATAAAATCGAACTTTGTTGTAATGTTTTCATGGGCTTCAAAATGTATTGCAATGCGGAAGTGATTTGTTTTTCTACAAATTATGCCCTTTAATCAATGGTAATTGTTGGTTTCATTTATGCCATCAATCCTTGGCAATGGGGATGTTCGCGCTAAGAGTTCCGAAAAGTCTCGCCAGGTGGCAGCACGGTATGCTTTGGACACAACGCGCCGGCCGGGCGCCGGCCGGGCCGGGGATAACACTGCGGGCGGCGACGGCGGCCGACTTTTCAGGTTCATCATTTTGCTAAAATGAGTAGCTACAGTTGATTTCGATATTAGGAAGACAATGACGCGTGTGAAAGGCAAACTACTACATCGTCATTGAGCGGAAGGAAAGGGAGCTGATCGAATGGTCACCAAAAGCTACGGAGTACGAAATATACGACGTTATCACATATTTTAACTTACACAGTTGAAATTAAAAACCTTATTACATTCAGACATATATTCACACACATGAAACAATCGATTTACAGCACACATTCCATGACAAGAACGCATACCTACGGTCTTAAGTTGACCTTTAGCGCTCGTCAGTCGTCACTGTCAGATAAGTCAATCACATCCCTGTAGTTTGTACAGACTATTGACTTAACCCTTCATCCGGCATGCGTTCATTCTGTAATGATGGGCAACGAATCACCGGCGATTTCTGCGTGGCTCTATATGACATCCTCGTCCGTTCCCCAGGTTAATTGGTTCGGTGACTTTTAAATTATAGCAGGCCCTTCCTCGGTCAGGCTTGATGGATCCACCGTCAATTTGCGCGGTACTTTTAAGACAGACTGTACCTTCTACTAACACGACTGACTGATTACAATCTGATGCGAAAGGGACAATATCTCGTCGGTCTATCAGTTAAAGTTCAATATTCAGCGACACAAGTGTGAAGGCTGCCTGGAAAACTTGCAACAAACTAAGTAATCTAAGCTTGGCTTGTAATGGGCACAAACTTGTAATAAAGAGGTACTTAATTAACAAATCCACAATGTTCTGTTCAGGCAAGTAGCCTTCACATATGAAGCATTGCTATGACTACTCTTCTATAGCTGATTGATAGCTTTTGAAGGAAGGAGCTGAGTGGCTGAGCCCTACCATTCACCACTTATCACCTTCAACAATTGCTTAAAGCATGCAGTTCTCTATCACTAGAAAATATCTGACAATTTGCTGGCTCTCATTTGTGTATGATGCAAGTGCAACACGCTTTGCATCAGTGATACTATGACACGAAATGTTTAACACTAGCATAGGTTGCAATGTAGATCCAAGGTGTCCCAGAAGCCAGAGCAAAAATTGACACCTTAATCAACTTCATGATAGTGGCAAAACTCCACTGCGTGACTACACAGAGCACCAACTGTTTGCTCCTCTAAACTTTCACCAAAGGAAGTGTTGCTGATGTCATTTGTAGCAGCAGTGACACTGGTAACTACAAATCACAGGATCTGGTAGCATCCATGCTCTTGAATCTGGATCTTATCAATGCAGCATTGCACCTGTGAATAAATGAAAAATGGCATAAGACAGCAGGAAAAGATCTTGGCAAGTCATAATGAGATACATATGTTTAACATGCATGGATAAAAGGACATTATATACTGAAGCAATTAGCAAAACATTGCAGTTTAAGGCTAAGCACAGTTGAAATCTGATATGATGAACTGGATACAGTGACATCATCAAGACCCATGAACTTAACACAAAGTATTTGCAATTTTGAAATGCACTTTTATTGCAGTTACTTATACAAATCTAGAAGGTGAAAAATTATTTTAGAAACAACAAAAAACTTGACCGTATTTAGTTGTTAAAAAGCTGAGTGAATATTCTAAAACAGTGTTCACTTCAGTGTGAATCAACCTAGAGTAAACAATTATTTACCTGATGAAATGAAGATATTATATCAATAATGAGTAGCTTTAGGTGGTGATGAGTTAAAAAAAAAACATTTTGCAAGAAAGGCTATCAGTTACTTCTGGATGATATACTGCAGTGTACAAGCTGTTCACCAACTCCTACCTGGTCTTTCAGTGGGATCCCTCTGTATGCACCTCAGAACTTCATCCACAGGGCTGGTTCCTTCATACGCAGGTCCTCTGCCTTCCTTGATTCCTCGGACTCCATCCTGACAACTCCGCACCAGAAGCATGATTGCACTGCAGGCACCTGTAACACCATGAAGATTATCAAATATCAATACTTGTAACAATTCATAAATAGTAGGTAGCTTAGTGTTCTATTACATATACCTCCTGGTTGCTGGTGTCAAAATAGATCCTATTTGTCTTTTTCCATCATAACCTTTATATAATAATAAACCTTTATCTGCATGCAATATCTTTGGTACCAGACAAAGTAGAACATTGCTAAAATGCTTGCAATGAATCTTATAAAAATACATTGAATTTATATAATCATTCTCATTTCTCAGCAGCATGTATCATCTTTTAATGACTTTCTCAAAGGGCTGGCCAATTTCCTATATTGATATGCCCATAAACTTATACAGGTAAATTACCTCATATGGGCAATACAAGATCCAGCTATGAGTTAAGTTAGACTATTTTATACTCTTAGTTATGCTCGCCATAAAAAAAATGTCAGGAAACGTGTTACATCGACGGTATTACCGTTTGGAGTCGGTCTATCTTCGGCTTCTCGCCTCTCTTCGGCTACGTCAATTGAAGCCTTTCTAAGTCTCCTGTCCTTTGTAAACTTGCCTTTCCATGTTTGTGACACTTTCTGAATATAAATTCACAACCCATCTGAGCAAAATTCAAATCAATTGCTATCAAATTCACCGAAATTCAGTCCCTCGGACCGACACCGTACGGACTCCACACAGTGCAAAACACATTGGCGCATTCGCCGCCACAGTTTCTGTGTCCAAAGAAGGCAGTGCTGCCACCTGGTGAGGAAATAAGCCGAACATCCCCATTGGATATTTAACGGGAGAGAATTAGCATGGTTTAGGCATCGAGTCGAATTTGGCTTTTCTTAAGATGTTCCGGTCATCAGTGTTTTCATCCAGGTAGTTTTTGGATTTTTTTTAAAGAAGCTTAGGACTGGTATTGGTTAATTTCAGTAATGCCTCATCGAGGTCCCTTTTTTTGTTCAATAGCATTTGTTTCATGCTGATGCTTTCGTTCTTACGGGGCTGTCATTTTGTAATTTCCCACTGAACTTTCATTAATTTGGATTTAACGGGTTAAAAACTAGGCAGGAGACACGTCATTTTCCTAGAACTTTACTCTCTTGTATTTTACTATATTGTATAGTTGTATGTAGGTAGTCTATCATTCGTGATGTTCTCGTATCACCAGCCGTGCGAACAAAGAATGAGCCGTATTTACATAGTCAGGCACTGCCTTGGCCGTGGTTGATTTGGAACAAGCAGTTACTTCAAATATATGCGATATATGACATGAGTATGCAGTTCATTTCCCAGCTTTGGTAGGCAAAAGGTGATGCAGTGTCTATGAAGGTAACGGCTAGAAGAAGATGCAATGTTCTAATGAAATCTTGAGATATCCATTGGCTCGGTGTTTAGATGGCTGTAATGGGTCCCCTCGGCGGCAAACAGCCGACATGACTTGTTTGCCGCGAATGGCTATACAACGTACAAGTTCGCCGTTTTCTGTACTGGGTTTGGTTAGTTTGGGTGCCGAACATTGACCTGTTTTTTTTACCTAAAATATGTGATGGCTCCTACCTTTGATGTGCTCCTGATATTTGTTAACCTTGACATTAACTGTGGTAAGTAGGAATGTCATGCCCATGATGGTGGTAAGGAGATTAGCGGCTTAAGATGACGAGCTGACAACATGTTACTGCGATGTTGCCCCAGCTAAATGCGTAATATTAGGCACTGGGTAACTTTAAAAGGCTAATCATCAACACCATCTATTAATTTAGATTAGCCAACCCTCAATTGTGTATGAATCATATAGCAATATCCAAAAGTCGCACTTAAAACACTTTCTTCTTTGCATAAGCCCACAAACTATTTGTGTTTCGCCTTTATTACGATGCGTTGTCTTTTTGCAGGAACCGGAGAGCACCTGCGAGCGCCGCCATCACGCCACGTCATGGAGGTATCCAGAGAGGCGACACCGGAAGACGCTTCGCCGGAAACAGACGGCGCGATTGTTAATTTGCCACCTGTCGCCAGTGTAGAGCCTGAAGCGAACTGTGATAGCAACAGTGATGATACTTTGTCAAAGCCTCAGTCGGCGGGTGTAGGGAGTGGTGCGGGTACTCCGGGCATTTCGGCCGAATGTCCGGAAGTCAAATCGCCTCCATCCTGTCCTGATCCAGTGCCTTCCCCGGATACAGTTTCAATAGGCCTAGAGAGGGACTCGGTAGCGGATAGGGATGCGATGATAAGCGCTTGTGAACCAGACACAGTTACAACACCTTCTAGGGTCAGCCCTGATTGCAGCTCAGGGGAGGTCGGAGCAGCTTCTTCGCCCCTGGCAGGCACTGCCGTTTCTTCCTCAAAGCAGCCACACTCGGATGTGGTAGTGACGGAAGATTATTTCCATGGTCCTGAAATTCATGACCTTCACGTGTTTAAACTCGATGTAGCAAATGGTTCCAAAACAACAGACGTCCCGCAACGCTCAGATGAAGTATCTGATGGAATCACGTCACATTCAGAAACACTACCGGATGCAACTGGAAGTAAGTCGGTTGTAGACAGAGCAAATGATGGTGTGACGTCTTCACATGTTGATGAGGGTTCACTATCGGCCAGTTGCGCTGATGTTGAGGAAGTATCGGAAACTGCGACACAGGACGACGAAAGTTCCAAAGTATCGGAAACTGCGATACAGGACGACGAAAGTTCAAAGGTATCGGAAACCGCGACACAGGACGACGAAAGTTCCAAAGTATCGGAAACTGCGATACAGGACGACGAAAGTTCAAAGGTATCGGAAACCGCGACACAGGACGACGAAGGTTCAAAAGTATCGGAAACTGCGACACAGGACGACGAAAGTTCAAAAGTATCGGAAACTGCGAGACAGGACGACGAAAGTTCAAAAGTATCGGAAACTGCGATACAGGACGACGATAGTTTCAAAGTATGGGAAATTGCGACACAGGACGACGGAAGTTCAAAGGTATCGGAAACCGCGACACAGGACGACGAAAGTTCCAAAGTATCGGAAACTGCGACACAGGAGGACGGAAGTTCAAAGGTATCGGAAACTGCGAGACAGGACGACGAAGGTTCAAAAGTATCGGAAACTGCGACACAGGACGACGAAAGTTCAAAAGTATCGGAAACTGCGAGACAGGACGACGAAAGTTCAAAAGTATCGGAAACTGCGACACAGAACGACGAAAGTTCAAAAGTATCGGAAACTGCGACACAGGACGACGAAAGTTCAAAAGTATCGGAAACTGCAACACAGGACGACGAAAGTTCAAAAGTATCGGAAACTGCGATACAGTACGACGAAAGTTCAAGATCGAAACAGATCGAACTAGTAGGCGATGGGCAACGGGAAGACAAAGCGTCTGAAGGCGATAACATGACCGATTTATGTCGTCACACAGCATCAGTGCAGGAGGAAAACCAACATGACGCAGGACAGCCACTCTTGGGCGTTGGAGACACCTGTATGTCAAATACCAGAGAGGACGTAAAGAGCTCAGATTCAGACAAAGAGATGGATGGCTTTGGAGGGGACGTGGTCGAAAATCAGGACCGTTCACATGGTAGTCCAGGTCCGCCGGAGGATCCACCAGAAGATCTCTGGCGAATTACGGACGTGAGAACGGTTTCAGATGAAGAGCAGGTAGCGAGCTTAAAATCAAAAAAGCTTTCGGAGGGGGATGCTGAGGAGCTCCACCAGGGCGATGAGTGGACACGGACGTCTGATGATGCAGATCAAGGAGAAATTCCGCAAACCGCTGAAGCCCTCTTGAACGATGGTCACGCTTATGATGAGCCGTCTATTGTATGCAAGGCTGAACCCGAGATCCTTGTGCATGCTTCAATCAAAGAACCATCCCGTTCCTCCGAGAAAAGTGAATACCTGGTTGATGGCGTTCCGGTTGTTCTTCGAAATTTGTCTGTAAGAGTTCAGAAGCTCAGTCTGAGTAACCACCAAAGGACTTCAAACAACTCAGGTCAGGAGGGACGTGATCGGAAGAAAGTGCATATTCGTGCTCCAAGACGAAAATCGACATGCTCCAGCCCAAGATCGGGTTCTGAAGAACTTGAACAGAAGAAGAGAAATAAAGCAAACAAGAAGAAACAACGGCTAAAGGAGATCGAAGAAAGACTTCATGATCATGACAGGGTAGAAAGGTCAGGGAGTGAAGAGTCCTTCGCTGGCTTTTCAAGAAGCGTCGTGTTTGGGAAACCTGGATCTGACTCGTACCAGATTTCCAAAAAGGTCCAGGAAAAGGTTGATCTTCTGACGGCTGGCGGCTGCAACTCCGATTGGTTAGATCATCTTGATGAAGTGTTGGATGAGGTGGTGAAAGGAGATGTCATCCACGCCCCGTCTTTCGAAGAGCATGAGCTCAATGAGCCGGGAATTTTAGAACGCAAACAAAAAGCCGGACAGAGTCGGAGACGTAGAAAGAGCTCATCGAGGTCAGAACATCGCGCACCGACTTCCTTGAATCTACCTCTCAGTATGCGGCCGATGCTGTGCCTACCAAGGCTGACAGAATCCGAGATACGTTCATATCAAAGGCCGACGATTAAAAGCACTCATTCTCAGTCCAGCGCCACTGAAGAGGATGCTTTGGCCGCATCGACTGAGTACGTGCGTCCAACTCCCAAGAGTCGCCGAAGGCGGGATTCCGCAAAAGAAGCGCGGAAATCCCCCAAGAAAGGTGAACACGTACGAAGGAGTCGGTCACGGGAAACCCAGGATGTGCCTTCAGAGGATGCGAAGACTTCTGCTGGTGAAGATGGAGGCACTCCAAAGGCTGTGCTGCCGTCGCCCATAAAGAGTCCCCATTCAACGGAAATTTTGAAGTCATTAAGCAAAAGCAACAAGATTGAGAGCCTGGATGCCGAGCTCGTCGCCCAAGAGCTCGACTTCCTAGAGTCGGCGGATAGCTCTGGTACCAAAAAGAACGACGCCGCAAAAGAAGTGTGGGGCAGCGCACAGAAGGGGTTTGCTGACATTTCATCCGATGACGGGGACCACGGTTTTGATGCCGCTGGGCTGATTGATATTCTGGAAGGTGACGATGCCAGTCCCGCAGGAGGCTCTGATCCATCCAGCCCGTGTGCCAGCCCGCCGCACATGTCCGGAGGGAGCGCAACTGGGCTGGATGTCGGCTCGCCAGGCAACACTGCATCGAGCGTCTCAAGAGATGGTGACGCGGGCCCTATGTCTCCAGACGTCCCAGTCAAAGAGGATTCCCTTACATCGCTCGCAGTGGATGTCAATCCAGTTGCACCTTGCGCCTCGTCTACACTTCCGCAGGCGGCTGATGACGGTTCAGCGCCGAGTGATGATGCTCTACCCTCGGCTAAACCAAGTGATGAACAAACTCCTCTGAAAGTTGAGGGAGGTGACCAGGACGCGCCGAAGAAGACGTACAGCATTTTCGTTGTTCATGAGGATGCCCTGCCATCTATCGCCAGCTCGCTCACGGAAGATATTGGTCCGTTGCTGGCTCAGGGAGCTGACAGTGGAATAACAGATCAGCCAGTTGAGAGCTCGGCAATCGAACCGTCTCCAGCGGATGCGCAGCCGGCGCACCCATCCGAAGCTCAGGTAGGCTCTACTGAAGTGCCAGCTACTGCTCAGGCGCCTCGTGAGACTGTGAAAGAGGAAGCCAGGGAGGTGAAGACGTATGGTGGCTTTGTCGAATCTAGAGCCGACAAGAAAATCCGCAGGAAGTTTCGCGTAAAGCGATGCGTGGTGAGGCTGCGAGATGTCAAGTTCTCCAAAAGTCATCGAAGGCTCTACAAGAAAGCCAAAAGATATCTAACGAGGCAGCTTTCAGACAAGCTGAAACAAGCGCCATCTGGCTCGAGCATCTCCGCCGATTCGACTCAGGCTGTCAAACGTGACGAAGAACTAGCGAAAAAGGAGACGAGCCAACCCGTCGCGGAAGAAAATCGCAAGGGTCCAGGGTCAAGTCAAAGCGCCGACTCGACATCAGATGCGAAAAAGCCAAGTCAGATGACCGAACGGAGCGACAGCGCTGCAAGCGGCTCCAGTGCCTCGAAGAAGACATCCAAGGATCAAAGGTGCGTATCTTCAGATTAATTCTTATTGATCGGTCAAAATCGTGCCACTTGCAATCTCTAGTGTAAAGTCATTTGTGAAGGTGTTATGTCAATCATCCGCGTTCTCCGAGTTATCCGGTTTATTTAAAATGAGGAGTACATTCCCAAATAATCTTGAAAGTTATGCACTGTTGTTATTGTAACTCTCGATTTGACCATTCCCTGTTCTGCGAGTTTGCTTTTTTTCTTTGAGTGGTGATTTTAAAGCATAAATGTGGGGTAGGGGCACGACACGAAGTACACTGGTACTAAAAGATTTGTTTCTTTTGCTGCAGAATCCCGAAGAAGTCTGACGGGAAGACTTCGCGGCAGAATCGGGTAGACCCGTTTTCAAGTGCGCTGAAGAGCAAAGCACCTCCGCCTCGTCTGACGAGTAAACATCCAAGATACGAGAGCACTTCCAGTTCACGTCCCTATGAAACTCCAGAAGAGAAAGAAAGACGTAAGCGGCAAAAGCTGCAGAACATTGAGCAAAAGTTGCGCGATTCGTCTGCAGTAGCTCAGGGCTCATCGCTTCTTGATACTCTGCTCACGACACCGAAGATATCTCAACCAAAAACGAAGCCGGATAAGAAGGAGGATAAGGCTAAACCACCGCTCATCGAAAGCAAGTCTTCGACCGAACGTAAACCCGTTCAGGAGGCGAAACCTTCTCTCTACCGAGCAAGTGGCTGGGTTCAAAGCGAAGCTGCTAAAATGACATTTGGTGGCGCACCAAACAAGCACAGTTCCAATGTCTCTAGACCAGCTGCGCACCCCGGCGAGACGCCGCATGGAAGCACAGGCCCCCACAAGGCGCCACACCGTCCCGAGGAGCAGACGGTGACGGCTAGAACGAGACCTCGGAAGACGAGGTGGGAGCCCGCCTCGCCGGAGGCCGGTGCCACAGAAGTGAGCCGGCTACCGGCACTGCCCGAGTGGGTGTCACGGATAAATAGTGGTCGAATCGGCCCCAGAACTCCGCCTCTGCCTGCTTTGTTAGAATCCTCCGCCCCTCGATCCACCTCTCGCTGCTCAGACGGGGAAAGAGTCACTTCTGTTTACAGCGACAATCATAGATCCTCGCCGGTTCACGGTGACTACCATCACAACAAATCCCCAGTAGGTTCCTTCGGCGAACACGAGGGTCAGTCAGAGCATGCACGCAAGGACAGGGCCCCGTCAACAGGAGGTAGTCACCATGGGCGCGAATTCGGAGATAGAATGGCAGATGATCGGCGGGCAGAGTCGCACGGTCAAGGATGTGTCGCGTCTCCGGCAGACGGAGTCTGGAGAAAGCGACAACGGTCCGTGGATGGAGACCGTGAGGAAGCTGCACGGGACCGGACTCGTAGGAAAATGTCTCCCCACGAGATGACGCCAGACGCCTCTCGGATGGATGCAGAGACGTTGAAAAACAACGAAACGGGAGGTGTTTATGGAGATGCTCGAAACACTCCTCCAGGGGAGCCTCCAGACGAGCCTCCAGACGAGCCTCCAGACGATCTTCCGGGTGATCCCGGCTGGGACGAGAGTGAGGAAGAAGTCAACGAAGAAGACGCGCCTTATTCTCCTAGCAACTCACCAATCCTGCTTTGTGATCTCAAGAACATCAAACCTCCCAAGAGGTCTCGTAAAGATGAAGGCAAAGAAAAGGACAGCGCTGCAGCGGAGAAGGAGAAGGAACCCGAGGCGCCCGTCCATCGCGAGGCCCCGAAGTCGCTCCTCAGCCTGCGTGCCTTGAAAGAAAAGGCGATGCTGTTGAGCAAAACTCAAGTGCATCCGGAAGCGGACGCCGTCGGACCGACCGAGGCACCAAAGAGTACAGTTGTAAACCCTGCCGATGTCCCTCAGGCTATTGGAGCGGTAGACGCATCTCCTTCTCCGTTTTCCTTGGCCGACTACCTGACTGGGGAGGTTCAAAGGGCGCATGAAAGGTATACCTCCCAAGCTCCCCCTGCAACCGCTGGGTCTAGCAATCAGAGTTCTGCTCCCAAAAAGTCCTCTCTTGGCCTGTTGGCTTCACTGAAAGGCAAGGCCCAGTGGCTGCTGAGCTCGGCGCCGCCGGTCGTGCCGGCGCCCCCGGCACCTCCGTGCCTTTCCGCACCAGTGGACCGAGATGACATCTACTCGTTCGGCGGCGCGCCGGCGCCCGAGCGCGAGCCCCAGCTCGATGGAGACGGCGGAGCCGGCCCGGCGGCGGCCGAGTGGCCCTCCGATCCGACGGGCCACCTGTCTGAGGCCGAGCTGAGCGAGCTGACACTGGTAAGCCTAGCGTGTATGTTCTCAGGTATCATGGTGCAAGTTACCGAGGCCGTGTCCCGCTGTGAATACCGGTGCCCCGGCTGTACTCCGTACCACGACCACCTCCGACTGAGGCTGTGTAGGCGTGCCCGCACTAGACTGCGGCCCAAGACTGTTAGCCGTGTGTGGCGGGCGATCTCGGCGAGTGCTGATCGATGGCCGTGTGGCTGATGGTGCTCGTGTGTGTGGGGCAGCTGGGGTTCGCTACTCGACAGCCGGTGTTTGTTCTCGCTGGCGCGCCGCGCGCCTCTTTCGGTTTACGGTTTTAACCGTTTTGAAATATTTTTCAGAACAAAAATGCATCCGAAAGTATCGAGCAAAACATTACTCTGGTGAGTGTAGCTTGCACCATGATACTTAGCTAGGATTAAGTTTGTCGTTTTGTCTCTGTGTTTGTGCTTGTGTCTGTTGATGTTCTAGTCAAAATTCGATGCCAGACTTTAAAGGTGCAAGTCAGTTTCACTTCAAAATTATGTCACTTATTTCGAACGAAAATCAATTGCAGTATTTTTAGTAACTAATTTACATATCTCTTTTTCGCAATGACTAAGTGGGTTATTGTTTTTTTTTACTCAAACATTTCTAATAACTTAAGACTCCTCTCGTGCATGTTAACCTTCACCTGGGGTGGGAGGTGAATGGAGTTGGCCACACTCACCAGTTTTTGCTGTATAAAGCAAACCTCGGAAGATTGGTATAGTTAAGCATCCATCAATCTTGCATCGTTTGTGAAATTTTTGATCCCAGATCAGCTAAGGATAGGTCACCAGGTCAAGTGATGTAACCATGGCTCTAAACAAAGAAAACTTTGCGATCAAATGTCATCTAGATGCTTGATACTCGGGGTATTGCACGAGGGTATGAGTACTAACTATTCTATATCTCGTAATACTCATATGCAAAAACTTTTCGACGCGTCTGAGCACGGCAAACACGATGATGCCGAAATCGCGGCTCTGCGATCATTTTTGGCGATGATATTTACCCAAAACAAAAACCATACCATTGGGCTTTTGACCTGACCTCAGAGGTCTCTGCGTGACCTGACACTTGTAAGTAGGGTACCAATTGCTGCGTCTCGTAACGGCGCTCACGTTCGTTTTTTACCGCGAGGCTAGCTCTAGTAGGGGTGAACCGGCGAGGGGGTCGTACCCCCCCCCCCCATCGGCCGGGGCGTATGCAGAAAACCATTGGGTCTGGAGAGGTTAAGTTTCGTTTTCTAATTTCTTTTTCGCCGTAAATTTTTTAGCTTGCAGTTTCTTTAGAAATTTGGTCGTAACTTGCTTGCAAATTACATGAGCATAGCTTCAACCATAATTTTCTCAATGCTTGTCTGAGAGATATGTGAATAAGTTTGTATCTAAATTTCTAACAGATGATAGGCGTGTTTCAGTAAGTTTGCCCGCGCTCAGGTGGGATCCCAGCCGGCTTCGCCGTGGTGATGGAGAGCTCCCCAATGCCTAAAAACAGTAGTAAGAAAGTTACTTTCAAAAGTGCTTCGGTGATTTTTTATCAGGTCAATGCTAAGGTCATCAAAGGTCCTTTTTTCGAGTGTCGACATTCTTGGACGCATTGGCGCATAACTCGTAACAGGGCTACAGCGTCACGAAAAAGCGTTGTCGATAGCTTTTTCAGTCTTCTTACCGTAGAAAGCCTTTTCACCATAAGAAAGAAAGAAAGAAACAATAAGAAAGTCTTTTCACTTTTATGTGTTCTTTAACTTAATTTGAAAGGTTTCTCCTCAAAAAGGCAATAACCGTTAAAAATGTCCTGCTTATTCAAAAACTTGTATAAAAATGTATGACAATATGTTTCTTTTTACCAGCATCACATTTCACATGCCATGGCCCTTCGAATAAGTTGTTATTTAATCATTATCTTCGCCCAGGTGGGGGAGGCGTTTTTGGCCCCATCTGCCAGTTTTTGCGAGTGTTAAGGAAACCGCTGCGCGCAGCGCCGCGAAACTTTGTATAGCTTATGATACATCAACTTCGCATCGTATGTAAAAAAATTAACCCCAGGTCACGTAAGGTCAGGTCACCAAGTTAAGTGACCGTGCCTAAAAAAACTGCTACATACCAGAAGTTTGAAACTCGGGCTATTGCACAAGGGAATCAGTACCAACAACTTGTGTATCTCTGAATTTTGATATCGATGACCTAAGGTCAGGTCAGTTTTGTGACCTCCCCATTATAAGTCAATGGGGAAATAGTGAAATGCTCTTCTTTTGGCCGAAAACACCCTCAAACATCGGGACACATGTGAGGAAAAATGCAAATGTGACTCCTTTTATGCCCATGAGGTCACTCAGGTCATGAAACGTGACCAACAGTTTTTTTAATTTCTATAATAACTCTGGATAGAAGCATGCTAGAGCGCTGAAAGCGCCATGAATGTGTTCAGCTCAACAATACGAATCAAATGTCATGCAACATGACTTCTGTGACCTTGACCTAAGGTCAAATTTTTGGGTTGACCTTTTCAGGTCAACATTCGACGCATCTCGACGAGACAATTGCGGTGCTTGTAAAATTGGGATAATACAAGCTTGAAGTCAAAAGTTATACAGAAACCTTTTCCGCCAAAACGTCAAATTTTGAGTTTTTGCCCTCTGGAGGCTAAACCGTTGACCATAGGTCAAATCTGAGATCAACAATTAGAAAGACCTATGGAAGAGCTATTGAATACGCTTTTCTACAGCGCTGTAGCTCTATTGGTTTCCGACTTATGCGCCAATTGTTGAAAAATTGTCAGGACCTGGATAAAATGGTGAAAATATTTCCTTTGGTGGCCTGAGGCCTCTAATGACCTCAGCGATGACCTGATCAACAAATGGCCTGTATGACTATGAAAGATCTTATAGCGAATTACTTATTGCTTTTTACCGCGTCTTTTTAGCTTGCTTACTTTCTGAGATAACTTGGTGTGGTTAAAAGCCCCTTCCCTTCCCCCATCGCGAAATTGGCTGAGAGGCCCGCCCGGGCGCGCGTTAAAGGTCATTTGAAAACAATGACTTGACTGCATATCAGTCTATCTCAACACTATGGGGTGTCAACTGACCATCAGCCCGTCCCGCTCATTGCATATAAGTGTGTCGTGTTTCTCAAAACATGTCTGATTTGGCATGTGTGTTCAAAACAAGAGACTTTTACACTTTTACACCAACTGACAGTGGTCATGAAGCTGACCTGACCGCAGGTGGCAGAAATAAAAAACCCTAGATTTATGAATTGGTGGCACTGGTACACTCATGCAATCTACACAATTTTAAACTTTTTGAAGCAAGATATGGGAATGACACGATCGCAAAGTTCTAGAGGCGAATGTGGCCCAGAGGATCCGTTCCCATTAATAGATGCCCCCATAAAATGTACTCCTTATTTATTGTTCAGCTACAGATCAATGGGTGTGCGCCTTTGAGTCCCCCGCTGAGATGTGCGTTTGTTTGGTGATAACCGCCGCGCACTATGGCCTGTATCTCGGGTTTGTGTGCATTACGCTGACGCTCGTGACCGGTGCCTGCGCACAGGGGAAGGCGTTCAACGATGAGCGTCTGGACCTCACCATCACGCTGGACGGCGTGCTCACCAGCGCCTTCTTCCTCATCTCCATCGACCCGCTGCGCATCAAGTAGGTGGCGCGTGCGCGCGGTAGCTTCCCGGTCAGCCGCCGGAGCTCTCTGCCCGCCTAAATCCCTCCACTGGCCATGGCTTACAACCCCGGAAATTCTCTTAAAAATGATTGCTATTGGCCCGCTGTGTCTTTCCCTCGGTGTCGATGAATCAGCTAGAAAAGTTTTACGTTTGTCCGATGCTCCTTCTTTCATCATTCGTTATAGAAATATGCCTGTCCAGTGTTCAGTCTCAACATAGCAGACACTACAGTAGCAATGGTTGGCAACATGGCGATCTTATTCGACAACTTTTTTTGACTGTCGATATTTGTCTTAACCCGCGCCCTGCTGGGGGGGGGGGGGGGGTGTTTGAACACCCCCCCTTGTGGTTTTTCGCGAATATCTCAAAAACGGCGGCGCGGAGCGCCGCCGTTTTTGGTACACCTTATCATACATCAATTCTACACATGTTGTAAAAATTTCAGACCAAGGTCATTCAAGGTCAGGTCACCAGGTCACTTCAAGTGACCTCACCTCATAAAAACTTTCAATGTCTGTCATAGCTACACCGAGTGACCGATCGCTTTGAAACTTTCAGCGATTGCTAAGAGCAATAGCATGTACAAAATGTATATCTCAGAATTTTGATATCGATGACCTAAGGTCAGGTCAATTTTGCGACCTCCCCATTATAAGTCAATGGGAGAAAATTGAAATGCGCCTCTTTTGGATGAAAGCCATTATAAACACTCCCAAACACCGAATTACAAGTGGTTTGGACACACTGAACTTGAAAATGGTGTCCGTGACCCTAGTTTATGCCCTGAGGTCATCTTAGGTCACGAATGGTATCTAACAGTTTTTCGCAAATAACTTTTGATAGAGGCATGCTAGAGCGATGAAAACGCCTTAGATGTGTTCAGCTCGACGATACGGATCGACTGATATGCGACATGACCCTTTCCGGTCAGGTCATGACCTTGACCTGAGGTCAAATTTTCAAGTTGACCTTTCAAGGTCAAGTTATAGTTCATTCGATGCGTCTTGACGGGAGAAACACGTAGCCGGTAAAAGTAAGCTCGTACAAGGCTTGGATCAAAAGTTATTGTAGAAAAACTGTTTTCGAAAAAATCGGCTATTTTTGCAGTTTTTGCCCCCTGCAGGCAAAACCGTTGACGTTAGGTCAAATCTGAGAGAATTACTCAGAAAGGGCGTTAATAGGGCTATCGAATGCGCTTTTCCGCGGCGCTGTAGCTCTATTGGTTCCCGAGTTATGCGTTGGCTTCTTGGAAATTTTCGACATTCGACCTGGAAATCGGCGAAATTTTGCCTTCAATGACCTCTGGTGACCTGACCTTTGACCTGACCAAAAAATTGATCGAAGTGATTTCGTCATTATTTTTTACGCTCTTTCGAACGCCGCCTTCCGCGTATCGCTACGTGGCCCAGGAGCCGAGTTACAAGGGGGGGTGTTCAAACACCCCCCCCCCCCAGCAGGGCGTGGAAATCCAGGACCCCCAGCAGGGCGCGGGTTAAGAAGTCTCGATATAGACTTACTGTTTGAAATATTTACCTTGAATAATGTGCTTATCGTTTTTGTCACCACATCGGACTTCCATCTGTTTGAGAATAGTGTTCAGTAATCCATATGTTGACCGAAGCCATGGCCATTGACTGCGCTCGGTAGGGTGGTGGCGCTACATGTGCGCTCTGTAGAGACGCCGCGTCTAGCCCCCTGTCCTCCCCGTGGAGCCGCCGCGTCTGACCCATCCCCCTCCCCCGCCCCGCGCAGGTGCAATGTGTGCGGCGTCTCGCTGCAGGGCTTCGATGCGTACAAGTCGCACGTCGACTCGCCCGAACACCAGAAGAAATGGCAGTTCGCGCTGGACAACCCCAATCACAGTGAGTGCGCGCCGGCCGCCTCCTCCTGCTGGCCATGGCAGCGGGGGATCTCTGATGTTTGGCCGTGTACGTTCATTTTCGTAGCGGCTCATAAGTCAGTAATTTTGAGCTGTTGGCTGGCTGACTGACAAGGGTGAAAAGTAATCTGTGGAAACGTGTTCGTGTTGGTTCGCTTCGAGCTGTTCTGATAACCGTTGTCTGTGTTCGTTTCAGAGCCGAATTTCATGCCCCAGGCTGGGTTCAAGGAGCCGGTGAACCGGTTCCTGTACCTGCTCAAGAGGTCGCTCAATGAGCAGCTGCAGATGATGGGCCCCGGGTTCCGGCCGCGGCTGCCGACTGTGGCTAACCCGCGCGTGCTGGCGCCGCTGGTGATGCGCGGCCCGCGGCCGCCGTTCGGCTGGCGCGGCCCGACGCCGCCGCCGGGCGCCTGGCGCGGACCCCGGCCCGGCATGCCCTTTCCGCCCGGATTCCGCGGGCCCCGTCCAGGCGGGCCGTTTTTTCGCGGGCCCCGGCCCCATATGATGAGGCCGGGGCTTAACATGGAAAATAACGGCGAAGACTGGGGAGACGGCTCTGAGGAGTGGACCGGCGAGGAGGGCGAGGGCGAGGAGTACGCCGAAGAGGAGCAGGAGGCCGGCGCCGAGGGCGAGGAGCAGCAGGAGGGCGCCGACGCGCCGCCGGGCGAGGAGCCGCCGGTGCCGGGCGCGTCCGGACCCGGACCCGGACAGATGGCGGCGCCCTGGGCACCCGGACCCGGCGGCCCGAGACCCTTCATGGCGCCCGGAGGACCAAGGCCTGGAGGACCGATGGCGGGAGGCCCGAGGCCCGGAGGCCCCATGGCGGGAGGCCCGAGACCCGGAGGTCCTAGGCCTGGAGGACCAAGGTTCGGGATGCCAGGAGGTGTCAGACCGGGAGGGCCCAACCAAGCGCAAGGCCAACAGATGGGCATGCCAGGACAACAGACGGGGATGCCAGGACAACAAATGGGCATGCAAGGACAACACATGGGGATGCCAGGACAACAAATGGGCATGCAAGGACAACAAATGGGCATGCAAGGACAACAAATGGGCATGCAGGGACAACAAATGGGCATGCCAGGACAACAAACGGACATGCAAGGACAACAAATGGGCATGCAAGGGCAAGTGCAGGGCCAACAAGAGGGAGGCGAGCAGATGGCTGAGGAGAAGGAGCAAACCTTCATCGACGGCTACCCGACGCTGGCGCTCGTGGGTGAGTCAGCAACGCTGCCGTGCGACGTGCGGGGGTATTCCATCGGCCTGCGTAGTGATGTCTAGGATAAGGGAATCATTGGAAAAGAAGGGATGGAGAATAAGCGGATAATTCAACAGCGATCCGGTACCTTCGTGCGTCATTCATGAAAAATGGAATGCAAATGCTGTTTTGAATTGTTTTGTAAAATAACTTCCAAGTATAACGTATGCGATGGAAGCATTTCCAGGTGGCTAGACTGCAGATATTGTCGGATAAGGGTATGACAGATGTGTCAGACGAGCGCCTCGCAGCGACCACGGTCAGTGTGTCGTGTTCGTCACCCACCCCCTCGCTTTCTGCAGGGACCGAGTTCATGATGCTGGTGGAGGGCGATGAGAGCGGCGCCGACTTTTACGTCTGTCTGATGTGCGTGCGCCGGATGGGCTCAGAGGCGATGGCCATCGCCCACCTGCAGGCGCCGTTCCACCGCACCATGTACCTGGTACGTACGCACTGCGCGCCGTGGGAGAGAGATAACGATCAGAGAAAGGACTGTTTAACTATGCGCGCTTCGATTTCCTGTACATAGTCTCGGCATACGTCTGTCGGTTTTTGTGCTGTCTGTTATGAGAATGCATACATGTTTCACCTCTCAGGACCTGTCGGCCGTCTGTCAGCGTTCTCCGCCGCGCCGTGTCGCCTAACTCCCTCCCGGCCTGCCCTGTCCGTCCCCAGGAGCGCTACTTCCCGCGCGCGTTCAAGCGTCTGGGCGAGGGCCTGACGAGCAGCGACAAGCCGTGGACGGCGGCCACGTTCCAGCAGCTGAGCGTCATCTGCACGCGCATCCAGGAGCGGTTCGGCCGGCTGGCCCCCGGCATGATTTCTGAGAGCAGGTTCAACATGGAGGCGCTCAAACTGAAGAGCATTATCGACGAAAACCAGCACTTCTCGTGAGTACCGCGCACGGGGCCGCTGCCGGCGGCGGAGGACTGGGAAATTGTGCGGGTTGATGACTTCGTACGACTGTTACCCATGCCCTGTTTCACCGCCGCTGCGTCCCGGGAGCTGACGTGATTCTCCCACTGCCTTCAGCGTTCGTGTTAAGGCCTGGCTACACTATGCGTTTTCTTCGTGCGTTTTTTGCGTGTTTGCGTGTTTTGCGTGATATCGTTCTAGAAAAAAGAACGATATTACGTTTTTGTGATGTTTTTCACCTTAAATTTTAGTTACATAAGAGTTATATTAGCTTTTGTATATAACCAAAGTAAAAATTATATTGTTTATAACTTTTTTCCTAGAACGATATTACGCAAAACACGCAAACCTGCAAAAACGCACGCAGAAAACGCATAGTGTAGCCAGGCCTGAATGGTGTAGCCGGTGTACCCTTCATTTCCACACTCTTCCCACACACTCGTTTTGGCCTCTGCCGCGCCGGCCCCAGCCGCTGACGTGATTCCCCCACTGCCTCCAGAGAGCCAATGGACATGACGTACTTCGACCTGCCGTTCCCGTTCGCCGGCAAGCCACTGACGCCGGAGGAGATGCCGAAACTGAACGTGGGCACGGTCATCAACCTGACGCCCGTCGGACAGAAACCTGGTGAGCCCGGCACATGACGAGGACGTGGCCGTCATACGACTCCGGGGGATGGGGGCCGTCTCAGACTGTCTGGATGGCAAGGGAGAACATGTCAAGTATTTACAATCAAATACGCGGGTTTTAATGGGACACGACTCGGTACCTCTTGTATTCGTACACTTTACAAAGGAACACTTTACAAAGAATCCAAAGGAACAATGTTTTTTTTTTTTTTTGCTGTCATGCTTAGTTTGCTATGCCGTTATGTTGTATATATCCGGTGTTAGCCTGTCGGTGCTGTTTTTCACCTGTTGGTTTGTTTATGGTAGTTGATCCTGATCGGGCTCCGACTGCAGCAGACCTGACTCGCCCACCCCGCTGACGGGGTGTCGGTGTTTACAGAGGAGGTGGCCAAATTGCCGGCTTTTCTCGTCAATCAGCAGCAGTCGGGGAGCGGGGCGGCGCCGGCCGCCTACCCACCGCCCGGCATGCCACCCAACAGCATGCAGCCCCCGGGCGCCTACCCGACTCCGGAGATGCAGGCGGCGGCCGGCTACCCGCCGCCGGGTATGGCGCCGCCGGGTATGATGCCGCCGGGTATGATGCCTCCGGGTATGCCGCCGCCGGGTATGGCGCCGCCGGTGAGCTCGTACCAGGCGCCGGGGATGTACCCGCCGGCCGGCTATCCTCCGGCCAGTATGGCGCCGCCGGGCGTCTTCCAGCCGCCCGGCATGCCGCCGAGCTCGATGGGTATGCCGCCCCCTGGCTACGAGCCGCCGCCGGGCTACGAGCCGCCGCCGGGCCTGTCGCAGCCGCCGCCGCAGATGTGGCCGACGCCGCCGCCGGCCGTGGCTCCGCAGCCGGCCGGCGCGACGGCGCAGCAGGACGACATGGACATCGAGCTGCCCATTAGTGACACCGACCGAACAGAGGACGAGGCGGAGAAGACGCGCGCCATCGTCCAGTCCGAGATCAAACGGTGAGGGTCCGGCCGCGCTGCGGGTGGCGGGGGCGCGGTGGGGAGCGGCCCCGTAGACTTCATTTTTTTTTGCATAATTAACCCGTCATATTTGATACTTCAGAGTGAAAATACATGCTCGTTTCCAGCGACTCGCAAATAATATGTCGATCAAATTGGATATGTGTTGTGGTTTCTCAGTGATGATTTCATTGGTAGATGCGAGATTCGCTAGGTTGACTGGTAGCTGAGCGTAGCAGGCGAGCCTAGGTAGGCTGGGGTGGGGGAAGCTGCGTCACTGTCCCTCGGCCCCGCGGTTCCCCTACTCCGTCTGTCGGTCTGCGCCACCCCGGACCATGATCACCCACCTGTCCGCCCCGTGCGGCACGTCACCCTGACCGGTCACGTGTCGGCCCGCAGGTGGAAGGAGTCCATGCTGAAAAGTGAGGCCAAGGCGGTCGTCAAGGAAGGGTAAGGCGGCGTGTTTGCTGCAGCGAATGTGGATGGCCGGGATCGTAAACCGATCGTTGTTAGCAAACATTTCCTAAACTTATTGTGAATCTTGTCGACATTTTTATATCATCTCGTTTGCGATGTTTGCTGTCTTGACTTACAACAATTTGGTGATGTTATGTTCTGTTCCTTTAGCTCTGTGTTCCTGATCAGTGTTGTCCTCTGCCCGCAGTCCCAGCGATCCGATAGAGGCAAAATACTACCAGGCTGCTAAACGGAAGGCGAAAGAAATTGAAAAACAGGACGACGACACGGAGGCCGAAAAGGAGTCCAAACCGGCCACAGCTAAGAAGGGAAAGGATCCGAACAAAAAGGAGATAAAGATCAACATCACTACATCTAAAGAAAAGCTGAAAGAAACAAAGCCAGAACGAAGCGAAAAGAAATCTGAGTCGACCGCTTCAAAGAAAACAGAGTCGAAGTCTGCAAAGAAGTCAGAAAACACGAAGAAAGACAGGTCCAAAACTGGTGAGCAAATGTTTTGTTCTGCTTGCAACATCGGACTTTGTTATCGGAGCAAAAACCACTTGGTGACTGAGCTAATATTTAGTGTTAATTCTTGAATAACGTGCAGCGCTGTAACAGAATGAAAGTTGTAATGTAACTTAAGAAATACACACTGTTAAAACAGACTTGCTCTTTAGTACTTCATTACCACTGTCCTTGCATTTTGCGATAAATCAATTTATTCGCCTTTGGGTGCGCATGCCCACGCATTTGACAGTCGGCTGTAAGGGTAGCCGCTGAGACACCTGCACTGCCGCGATTACTGTGTGGGGCTCGTTTTGACGCTGTTTGTCCAGTGGCGCGGTGCCTGTTTCCCCTGTCTGACCGTCGCTCTTTGCTCCCCGGCAGACACCAAGTCGGCGAAGGACGACGGCGCGGGTATGGAGGCGGTGAGCTCGGACGAGGATGAGTCGCTCTACAAGGTCAAGGACGCCGACAAGTCGTCCGCCGCCCGGTCCAAGCCGACGACCCCCTTCAATCGCGGACCCGCCTATCCGCGCCGGTCTTTCCGCCCGTCGCCGCCGCCGCGGCCGAGATATCACTACGACCGGCGCGGCCGGCGCCGCTCGTGGTCCCGCTCCCGCTCGCGGTCCAGGTCGCGGTCGCGGTCCCGGTCACGGTCGCGCTCCCCGTACCGGAGCTGGCGCGGCCGCTCGCCGCCGCCGCCGCCGCGCGATCGATCCCGCGGCCGCTCGCCGCCGCCGCGCGACCGCCTGTCCCGCGACCGGTCGTCACGCGGCCGGTCCGGCGCAGCCTCCGAGCTGCAGGAGCGGCGCCGAAAGTTCGAGCGGCTGGAGAAGATGATGCTCGACCGGCTGGCCACCAAGAAGGCCGTGTTTGACCGACGTCCCGAGGACCATCCGGACTACGCCAACGAGTGGAAAAAGTTCTGGGAGCGCCGTTACAAGGAGGTGCAGCGCGAGGGCAAGAACCCGGACACGTACGAGTACACGCCCGAGTGGAAGAGCGCCTGGGAGGACTACGTGGACGAGCTGTTTGTGCGCGAGCGGCACGACAAGCGCACTGAGCTGCTGCAGCAGTACGAGCTGGTGGAGGACGAGGAAGGGCACCTGGTGGACGCCAACGCTCCGCGGCGCGCCGACAGCCCCTGGGAGTCGGGCCGGAGCCGCGGCCGCTCGGCGTCCACCGACCCGGACCGCCGGCCGCTGCCGTGCAACCCGTCCCCGCCGCCCGGCAGCGGCGGTCTGCACCGGCCCGACACGGGCCTCTCCACGCTGTCGGTGGGCTCGGCCGGTGAGGCGGCGCGCGGCGCGCCCGCCCGGCCGGCCGCCGTCGACCTGCCCGGCGTGCTGCGCGTGCTGACGGCCCTGGAGGACCAGCTGGGCTCGTTCGCCAGTCCGACCAACCTGCTGCTCTCGCAGGCGGTGGCCGCCGAGCGGGTCAAGGCCGGCAGCTCGGCGCAGCTGCTGGCCGTCACCGAGCACGTCCTGCTGCTGGACACACTCAAGGAGAAACTCAAGGGCCAGATCGCAGCCGGGATCTTGCCGGCGGCCAACGTGAACGCCTCTCGGCTGGCCATCGACCAGATCGCCATGCTGCTACAGAACGTGCCGGCGCATGTGTTCGAGCCGCCGCTGAGTAACCAGCAGCTGGCCGACCGCGTGGCCAGCTCAGTCTCCAGCAACGACCCGATGGTGATCTCGCAGCAGATCGCTGTCACGCTGACCAGCCTCGGACGGACCAACGTCTCCGAGACAGACCTCAACGAGATCCTCATCAAGGTGATGATCGCCAAGAACCTGCTGCCGGCGGCGGCGGCGGAGGCGGCTGCCCCGGCCCCGGCGCCGGCGGCGGCCGGGGCAGCGGCGCCCGCCTCGACGGCCGCGCCGGTGTCGTCAGCGGCCCCGCCGGCGTCTGCCGCCGCGGTGCCGGCCTCGTCTGCCGTGGCGTCCGCGCCGGCCGCGCCCCTGCCGGCCAGGCCGTTCGTTAGCACGTTCGCCTCGTCTGCGTCCGCGATGCCGGCCCCGGTGGCGTCCACCATCACCACTCCGGCCACCCACCTGAAGCCCACCACGCGGCAGGCCGGCGGCCGCGGCCCGCCGCCGCCCGAGACGCCGCTCTTCAACGCGTACGCCGACGAGCGGCCCAGTCACGCGGCGCCGGTCAGCGGAGGCGCCGGACTGAGTATGCTCCAGTCGGCCTATGAGGATGACGACCACGACGGTCCGCCGAGTCCGACCCCGCCGGCCCGCGCCCCGGCGCGCAGTGAGTGGGAGCGGCCGGCGCCGCCTCCGCAGCCGCAGCCGCCCGCCCAGCCAGCGCGCGTCTCCCTGCCGCCGACACCGCTGGCGCGCGACCGCACCGAGCACCGCGAGCCGGTGACCAACCCGCCGGCTCCGGAGGCAGACGACGAGCTCAGCGCTGAGCAGATCCACGCGCTGCTCAACAACTTCGACACGCTGAGCCGGCCCGAGCAGGAGCAGCTGATGGAATACCTCAAGAAGCTGGAGCGGGAGAAGAACGACAAGGTGGAGCAGCTGAAGGTGCTCCTGGCGCGTGACCCGATCAAGACGGGCGGGCAGAAGACGCAGGCGGGCGGCGGCGCGCCGAACGGCGGGACAGCGGCGGCCGAGCCGGTCCGCCAGCGTTCGGCCAGCTCGGAGAGCCGCCAGTCGGCCGCCTCGTCGTCCGCCGCCGGTCCGGTGCCGGTCACCGGTACCACGACCACCACCACCACCACCACCGCGGCGGCGGCGGCCGGCGCCACCACGGCCTCAGTGACGGCGGCGGCCACAGCGGCCGCGGCAGCCGCGGCCGGCGTCAAACCCGGACAGAACGTCGATATCAGCAAGCTGCTGTCCAAGGAGGCGATCGAGGCGGCGCTGCAGATCGCCAAGCAGCTGCGGAAGGGCGGCGCGCCCGGGCGGCCGGCGCCGGCCATGGACGCGCCGCTGCCCGCCAATCACTTCCATGAGGTGCCCAATGTAGTGAGCAGCCTGGCCGTGGCGGCCTCGCTCTCCGAGTCTACCAGACCGCGGCCGGGCCGGCCGCACCAGGCCGGCGCCGGGGGCGGACCGCCGCTGCCCGCGAACCCGCCCCCGCCGCCGCCCGAGCAGCCGCCACCGCCGCCGCCCGAGCAGCCTCCGCCGCCGCCCGAGGAGCCACCGCCACCGCCGCCACCGCCGGAACAGCCGCCGCCACTGCCCAGTGACGGCGCCAAGCCGCCCCTCCCGCCGGGTCCGCCGCCGCCGCCCCCTGAGGAGGCCAACGGCGTGCCGTACCACCAGCAGCAGGCGTACCTTCAGCAGCAGCAGCAGCAGCAGCTGATGCAGCAGCAGGCGGGCCAGTACGGCTGGGGGCAGCCGGCCGGCCGCGGCCGCGGCGCCCCGTTCCACCATTACAACCAGTTCGGCGCTCCGCAGCAGGGCTACTACGACGACTCTTTCCAGCAGGGATACGGCGGCCGGGGAGCGGCCTTCGGCGAGAAGAAACAGGAACCGGAGAGCTTCAACGATCAGGGAGTCGACTACGGCGGCGACATGGATGTAGACGACTACTCGGAGGAACAGGGAGACGAGCAAGCGGAACAGCAAGGAGAGGACTACACCCATCAGCAGGGGGAGGACTACACCCAGCAGCAGGGAGAAGACTATAACCAAGGGCAGGGAGAGGACTATAACGAATACCAGGGAGACGACTACGCCGAACAGGAGTACCCAGAAGAAGAGGAGTACCCAGAGGAGTATGACGAAGCGAACGATTATGAGAGCATGGCCAGCAAGTACATTGACGAGGAGCCCGAGGACGACCCGTACGCCGACCCCGGCCCAGGGTTCCGCAACAGGGGAGGCTTCTCGGCCGGTCGAGGTGGGCCCAGAGGAGGGCCGGGTGGCGGGCCCAGAGGAGGGCCGGGTGGTGGGCCCAGAGGAGGGCCGGGTGGCGGACTCTTAGCAGAGCCTAGGGACGGTCTCGGTGGTGCCGGTCGCGGTGGACCCCGGGGCGGGCCCGGCGGCGGCGCCCCCTCGCCGTGGGAGGCCGGCGGGCCGCCGTTCGGCAGGGGTCGCGCCCGGGACCTGGGCCCGATGCTGCCGCCGATGTTGCCGCAGGGCGGCCCGGCCATGCGCGGCGGCAGAGGCCATAAGGGCGGCGGTGGGCCGCCGTTCGGCCGCGGGGGCCGCGGCGGCCGCCGGCCCTGGCAGCGCTGGTGATCGAGAGCGACCTGTGTCCGTGCTGTGTGACGGCGCGATCTGCGCGCCGTATTCTGTGAGCTGTGTGGCGCCACGTTCGCGCCAACCGCGCCGCGAGCGCGGCGGACATTCGTGTGAGTGCGGCGGGCCGCGGCGCTTTCTACGTGTGCGTCGACCGCGGGCCGTCCGCGCGCGACCGGTGGGGGATCGGGGAGGGGCGCGCATTCTGCCCTGTGGCGCGCGCTTCATTCTGTGTAAAGCAACTTGCCGGCTGCACATTGTACCACTTGTAGTGTTTAGATGTCTGTACAATGTACTTGAGGACTTCGACGTTCGTTTTAAACATAAATAGAACTTATTGTCGTTAGTGTGTCGAATTCGGGGGAGTGTTTTCGGGCGGCGTCTCACTGTTGGATAGCGCACTGTTCGTGGATCCACTCATTCCAGTTTTAGTGTTTTGTTCGGTTTTAATACCAGACTACGGCATTCGTTAATCGCTTTTCCCGGCATCTGGCGGTACGTGCATTCAAGCGAACGAATGCTCAGATGCTGACCGATCACATTGCGGTAATCATCCGTCACTTACCATGTTGGACACTGAATCCACACGGACAGATATTCGAGGACAGGCTGATCTCAGACATTGGGGTGGGACGTCAGGACGCCGGCCCACTCCGAGTGAGCCGACACCGCCAGTTGGACGGTCGGGCGCTGGGGAGAGATTTCACACCTCTGAGTGCGGTTCCTGGCGGGGCTCCAGACGAGTCGCCCGTCTCCACCGAGGTCCGACTGCCGCCGCGACTGATAGCCTGAGGTCTTGGGAGTGACTTGGGATGAGGGTTGCGTCACTCGTTATTTACTTCAGGAGCACTCGCCGACCGTTGGCACCAACAGGCATTGCTACCGAGTCGTAGGTAGGTAGCAGGATAAGAGAAAGGGCGAGAGCGCGAGATTCGTTGAAAGTGACGGCACACGACTGCAAAACCAAATTGACATTTAGGGAACAGTCAGCAGATTGCCAGCACGAATTACTGGCGCATTTATTTGTCACCGACTACCGCCGGGCCGCCGGGACCTGTTTTCCTACGCTCCATTAGCGATGGTTCCAGGGCTTCTCACTCTAATGAGGTTCTACGAGCTAGGACAAGGCATACGATGTTCGAAAACTCAAACAGGGTACATTGAATTAGGAACTCAAATACTTGAGAAAAGTAATTCAGTTATTTGGTTGCCAGATCACACGGATTACAGGAGAAACGGGTAGTTCTTCGCTGTCAACCCGAGAGAAAATGGGCAGTCAGGCATTGCGGTACAGCATCATTCCAGGCGTTTTCAGTAGTGTCATCTAGCGGCAAGAATACAAGTAGATCGGGTGATGCGGCACAGTTTCACTCCCGGCGTTTTCACTAGTGCCATCTAGCGGCAAGAATGTAAGTAGGTCGAGCAATGCGGCACAGTTTAACTCCCGGCGTTTTCACTAGTGTCATCTAGCGGCAAGAATGTAAGAAGGTCGGGTAATGCGGCACAGTTTCACTCCCGGCGTTTTCACTAGTGTCATCTAGCGGCAAGAATGTAAGTAGGTCGGGTAATGCGGCACAGTTTCACTCCCGGCGTTTTACTAGTGTCATCTAGCGGCAAGAATGTAAGTAGGTCGGGTAATGCGGCACAGTTTCACTCCCGGCGTTTTACTAGTGTCATCTAGCGGCGAGAATGTAAGTAGTTCGGGTAATGCGGCACAGTTTCACTCCCGGCGTTTGCTGACGTTTCAACGAAGGGGTTTCGAGTCCTCGAGAGACCTACAAGGCTCGAGTGGACATGCGGGCATAACGTTTTTCTTAATATTCCAACACAGAAGTCGTAAATGCTCCAACGCTAGTAAAAAACCACTCATTGCAATTTATGCTTGAAGCGAATAAGGAATATAAGTTCGTGCTTTCTATTGGGTTCGGATTCCGGGAATTAGGTAGCAGTAGGTACCTATGATTCGCCATGTTTTAGCTGGAGTCTTACTACTGCGTTCAATGAGCAGTAACAATGCACTTCAAAAATCAAATACATGGCTGACGGCTCGTATACCTCGACTTTATCGTTCGCCAGCCCCTGTGCCCTGTGATGACTGATGAGTGTGTAGTGTCGGAATATGAGCGCCAGCAATTCGTAGGTATGACATGTGTCGAGGGTTAGATTAGATTAGGTCCTGCCTGCAAATAGGTTTTATGACTCTAAATATCAATCCTCCCGTCTATATATAATAGACGACAAGAATATTCTCTAGAAGATCATAGGTATACGCTCTCGATATGGTGCTAAGTTGCTGCAGCCACAAACACGATATGTACCTATAGCCGATAGCACTCTGAATGAGACATTATTTCCTACTTATAAGTTACACAGCAGAGTACCAATATGGTAATTATGTGATGCTGATGCCAAATAGCCTGGGCATGCTTATCGTTGTCTCCGAGCTGATGTCCGGTGTGAGTGGGACACCAGTCGTTGTCGAGACAGCTGTGTCCCGTCAGACGCCCCCGGTGGGCCGTACCGACAGCGGGGACCTCTCGGCCCGATCAGTGGGCCCGGCGCGCTCGCTCCGCGGTCAGCTCGGGCGGCCGGCCAGTGGCCTGAATTCCCCTCGGCCCAGAGCGGTGACACACCGGCCCAGTCCCCCCCCCCCCCCTCCCAGACGACCGTCCCCCCCCCGTCCCGTCGCCGAAAAGGCGCGACCGTCCACCTGATCAGACTGCCGTGCTCGCGCTCAAAAATAGCGCGCGCCAGTGTCAGGGCGCGCGCGCGCGCTGCTGCCGCCCTGTGTTGGCGAGGTCGGGTGCCAGCCGCTGGGCGGTGCCGCCGGGGCGCGTCTCTCCGTCTGCACACGTCTGTGTCGCTCGGTCAGTGGAGGAGGCCGCGGCTGGTCCGTCCCCGTCCAGAGTCCGTCCCGCTCCACTCCGACAGGTGAGCCGCGCCCGAGACCTGCGGGGAAACGGGAAACGGGGAGGGGCGAGAGGGGGCGGGGTCGAACAATCCGGGAGAGATTTACAGAGGGAGGCTCAATACGCTTCGTGCGTCGGTGGGGTGGGTACACAAAGCAGTTTCGTTCCCATAGGCAACATCGACGAAGCGAAGCTATATGGCCTGTCACATGGCTCGTGCATCACATCCATCACGCCGCCTCTTCCAATATGCGCGATAAATGCTAAATAAATTGCAAGCTTCCTTCGCTGCAGTTGTGTCAATAAGACGCTGACATACTGTTCACCCGGAGGTAAGTATCTTTGAAACTATGGACCGTAGAGCTTTTGAATCAATTGATCGATATACATATTTGACATAAATGCGACTCTTACTTTGGGCGCCGACTTTGATCTGACCTTATGTCGTCATCCCGGGGGCCACGTAGGATCAGCATTCTTTGACTGATTTAAGTACCTATGGCTTCGATAAAAAGGTGCATTGAAATCAGGGGCGCTATACTCTCTCTCTCTCTCTCTCTCTCTCTCTCTCTCTCTCTCTCTCTCTCTCTCTCTCTCTCTCTCTCTCTCTCTCTCTCTCTCTCTCTCTCTCTCTCTCTCTCTCTCTCTCTCTCTTTCTCTCTCTCTCTGCGACTGTGTAGGGTTGACGTAGCGTCCTTTGTTTCATATTTTTAGCAGCGATACGAAGCACAAGGTCGCCATCCGTTCACCTTACTCACGACCTCACAATAGTCCGTTATTTTGTCAGGGACACTTCATCCGCGCCGTTCTAGCGCGGTTCTGCTGAATTCCGACGGACACCGCAAAAAGGACACAGCAATTCGTCACATCATTTCTATTGCTCCTTCTCTTCATATGAGAAGATTATCACTTTCCTTCAGACGACAAGGTCATGTTTTTCGTCCCAGTGTCAGAGGGAGCTGCTGGTAGCCGTGCAATACTCACTGCAGCAGTCAGCACACTGGCACTCAAAAAGCCCCTGTTCGCACGCACAGGACGGAAGCGGGCGGGAGTCTTTTGTCGCTAAGCCAAACAGAGCTGTTTGTGTACGAACAAACGTTCAATGCACGACAAACACCGTCAGTTTTGGTGGGGATGAAAGGTTCCATTCGGATGACAAGGACATTGGTGAATTTCCTGTCTATGTGGAGGGATTATCTCTACAGGGATTCTAGTCGGTGAACGCTTTGTTGCGCCATAAGTTTACTATTCTTTGTAGGTGTGGGTATAAACATGTTGCAAACAGGATATGCCTCCATACGATCACGTATAGGCTTTACCATCATAAATAACACTATGGTTATTTATTACACTATGGCTTTACTCTCTAGGTTTATTGTTTCTCTGCCCGTTTGTGGTGTATGGCCAATTAAAAACAGCATGCAAAAGCAGCAAAATGAATAACTAATAAATAAAACTAAACGATGAAGATAATAAACCTCTCAAATAGTAACCAAGACAGCCGCTCCGGCTGTATCGCCGCACGGACGACAGGCGCTCTCACTGTTGGACGGAGTTGAGGTCTGACAGATCTGGATTTAGCTCAGCCATGGACGTCATGTCAGTGGCTCACTTTGACAAGGTGTTGGACGGACCGCGGCGCCGACCTTGCTCAAGGGAGTTGGCGCTGATGAATATAAAGATAAAACAGACAGCGCTGTGGATGGGCTGTCTGTATGGCTAACAAGTTTGGGCCCTGTGGCATGTTTGGGCCTTGAGCGTTGGCGTCTATCAGGCTTCGCGTTCTCTAGGACGGTTACTGGCACATCACCGTTGAAGTCACCAGCAGAACGGAACGTCTAAGGGAAGCGGGTACGGCCACGGGAGTGCGTGCCGGAGTCAGTCGGGATCCTCTTCTCGGGTGACAGTTGACAGATGGCTCTGACAGCTGAGGAGCAGCCGTCGTCGTTAGTCACGGCAGGCGCTGTCGGCAGCCGGTCCGTCAGGAGCCGTCAGTGCCGGCTGGTGGCGGACAGCGGCGGACTCTGTTCAGCCCTCCCGCAGTTCCCGCTCCGCTGGACAGCTGAGATTGGGGCCGAGCTGAGGATGAATTGCCTACTTCATCATCAACGTCATCAGTGTCATCAAATGCTCAGCAGCTGCAGCTGATGTTAGAGAGATTTAGACCGGTCGCGGTGGCGAAAACCGAGACCGATAGGTACGCCTCATCGTGAGGGAGATTGATAGATTGGAGAGAAACGGTGCCTATGTAAACAGCTGCTGGGAAAATGGTCATTCATCAGTTAAAAAGCGCGGTGGCCCGTTTAGTGTTTTATGATCGGTTATATGGGTTGTTTAATGTCAGTGATAACGGCAATATCCGACGGTGACATCACGGCGACTATCCTCGCTTCTGTTTCCGATAAAAACCCACCTACGCGCGACATCAGACGACTTC